ATGTACAGAGTGCAGGGGTCAGGAGTGTGTAATGTACAGAGTGCAGGGGTCAGGAGTGTGTAATGTACAGAGTGCAGGGGTCAGGAGTGTGTAATGTACAGAGTGCAGGGGTCAGGAGTGTGTAATGCATAGAGTGCAGGGGTCAGGAGTGTGTAATGCACAGAGTGCAGGGGTCAGGAGTGTGTAACGTACAGAGTACCGGGTTCAGGAGTATGTAACGTACAGAGCGCAGGGGTCAGGAGTATGTAACATACAGAGTACAGGGGTCAGGAGTATGTAACATACAGAGTACAGGGGTCAGGAGTATGTAACATACAGAGTACAGGGGTCAGGAGTATGTAACATACAGAGTACAGGGGTCAGGAGTATTAACGTACAGAGTACAGGGGTCAGGAGTATGTAACATACAGAGTACAGGGGTCAGGAGTATTAAGGTACATAGAGGGCAGAAATGTGTAATGTACAGAGTGGAGGGGTTAGGTGCATGTAATGTACAGAGTGGAGGGGTCAGGTCTATGTAACGAACAGCGTGCAGGGGTCAGGACTCTTCTTGGCATCCCATTACTCCCTATATTCCTGGCATACTGCAGGCTGAGCCCACCTCTACCAGCAATTCAAATCCCCCTGATGTATAACTTTGTACCTAGCACAGTACCCCCTCAGCACCTAACCCTAAGTTCAGCAACCACCGGATCACATCTTGTGAGACTGTGGCTGCATCTCCCATCATTATGGAAGCCTCAGCTATGTTAAGAGTGAGCGGGACGGTGGCCCAGAGGGGAAATCTTCCTCAGTGCTGAATAATTTTACCTTTCTCCAAAATGTAATTTATTTGAGAGGTTCTCTTTTTGGCTGATTGGGTCATGTGGTAGGTGACAGGGTCATGTGGTAGGTGACAGGGTCATGTGGTGGCTGACGGTCATGTGGTGGCTGACAGGATCATGTGGTGGCTGACAGGATCATGTGGTGGCTGACAGGATCATGTGGTGGCTGACAGGATCATGTGGTGGCTGACAGGGTCATGTGATTGGTGAAGGGGTCATGTGATGGGTGACGGGGTTATGTGATACATGACGGTGTCATGTGGTGGCTAACAGGGTCATGTGGTGGCTGACAGGATCATGTGGTGGCTGATCCTGTGTTGGGAGATGCAACAGTCTATGCAGGGAGTTCTGGTGGGGGCAAGCTTTGTGGAACACCCCCAGGCAGCCATTGCCCGGCGCCACTCCCCCAGCCACCTAACGGGGCACGGGCCAAGTATGAGACCTGTACCCCACTATTGGTAGCCCTGGTGGAATACATGGGTGAGGTGTCCCACTACAGTTACTGTCCCACTACTACAAAATGTTCAATGGTGGTAGCAACATTAGCGATAAACTGTTTAAAATTAACTCCTTTACGGTCCTTAAGGGACCGTAATATACAGGGGTACAGGTAACATACAGGGGTACAGGTAATATACAGGGGTACAGGTAACATACAGGGGTACAGGTAACATACAACATACAGGGGTACAGGTACTCCTAGAATGAGATCCTAATAGGTTGGACTTGATGGACTAATGTCTTTATTCAACCTCAAATACTATGTAACTATGTCTCTAATCCCGCCCCACCAACTGCATGGTCCATAATGAATGAAAAGTCCAACAGGGAGGGTGCTTATGGTGGTGATTTCTCTCCATGAAGCTGAGAGGGGATTTCTCGTAGCAACAAATAAAAGTCAGTCCCCTGAGATCTGTTGCTAAAATGAATCTCCGCCGTGAGCAATCTGTAGCTAGAAAGGAAAAAATCCACTGCCATTAGCCCTTCACTTCTGGACCACTGCCCTTCTGGGTCCAGATCATACATTTTCATGACACCTGACCACATGATCGTAAGGGTGAACCAGCTACAAAGTCATCCATGAGGTGGGAGGGGTTATAACTCAAGGGGGCTGGCAGTTTCTATGTGCCTAGCGTCCATTTCTTCTGCCGGTGGCAGTATAACCCAACATTGCACCCCATAGTTCTCCTAAGGGTCACGGGAGAACATAAACTAGCATTCTCCTGTGACCCATAGCTCAGCATACCGCGAGCTACAGCTCGTGGTAAACTGAGACGCCGCAGCCGGAACGGATCCATTACTGTCGAGATCCACCCAGCTGTGTGATTGACAGCTGTCTCTGCCTATCTAGAGGCAGAGCCAACTGTACCCGCCCTTCCCCCGTCCGTTACTCCACTCAGAGCAGGAGGATCGGAGCAGGGAGGGGGGAAATCGCTGCAGGGAGCCATGAGTGATAGTGACGGCTCTCTGCAGGGAGATGATCGAGAAGTGAGCGAACGCCGGTATGTGTGCGCTCACCTCCCGATCTACTGAGCCGACCTTTGACAGTCTCATTGTCACAGGTCGGCTCAGATTATGAGGCTGAGTGAAAATCACTCGCCTCATAAGTCTCCTTTAATAAAACTGTGTCCCTCAATGGCTGATAGAGAAATCTACTTCTATAGCATGGAATCTGCACCAGAAGAATAGTCATTGCTGCAAGAAAGCTGCACGGGCCAATGAGACATGACGCCATACCATGTTCTGTATCGCCCGACCCCGGATCAATTTCTGTATGAAGATGACAGCCAGCTCCTTGTCCTCGTCTCCCTGGAAATAAAAAGGAATAAAACAATGAAAGGAGAAATAAAGTTTTGAATTATTTAGTGGTAACGTTACAAATAGCTCACCTCTGGCGGCTCTGGCACTCTGGGGGTGGCAGGCCGGGGAGTCGGCTTCTCTATCTTCTGTAAGAAGCGGAGAGGCTTCTGTGGCTGCGGAGTGTCATTCTTCTTGTTCAGCAGGGTCTGTGGGACAGGAAAAAGATCCGTATTGCACCCATTATGATAACATGGGCAGGCAATGTGACCAACTGGGATCATTTCATTGGTAGGTCCACCTATATGGAGGCCGTGATTCCTGCTGTGCTTATTGAAAGCCCAACTCCAGCTTTTCCTAACCAGCCCTTCACCCTGCTCCCCATCCTGCAGGTCCTCTTCCATGACCTGGACGTGGGCTGTCCTGGGCTCGTAGGAGAATGCGGCAGAGAATGGAATTCACATGGGAATGCAAATTGAAGGAACGAAAAGTCAGACGTAGAGTAGGTGGACCCGCTCCTCATGGGACCAGCCAGAATTTTCTGGGAATTAAGGCCCAACTACCGTGTTTCCCCCCGAAAGTAAGACCTACCCCGAAAATAAGACCTAGTTCGGTGGTAGGTCTTATATTACAGACATCCCTGAAGATAGCGCTAGGTCTTACCTTCGGGGTAGCTGCACATGTAATTCAATTTTACATGTGAAGACCGGTCGCAGCTCCCTCCCGCCCCCTCGCCC